GAAAGGTGGAAGCCAAATTGTCTCTATTTGCAGACGACATGATAGTATACCTAGAAGACCCCATCGCCTCAGCCCAAAAACTCCTGAAACTGATAAGCAACTTCAGCAAAGTCTCAGGATATAAAATCAATGTGCAAAAATCACAAGCATTCGTCTACACCAATAACAGACTTAAAGAAAGCCAAATCAAGAGCGAACTGCCATTCGCAATTGCTACAAAAAGAATAAAATACCTTGGAATACAACTCACAAGGAACGTAAGAGACCTCTTCAAGGAGAACTACAAACCACTGCTCAACGAAATCAGAGAGGACACAAACAGATGGAGAAACATTTCATGTTCATGGTTAGGAAGAATTAATATCGTGAAAATGGCTATACTGCCCAAAGTAATTTACAGAATCAACGCTATCCCCATCAAGCTACCAATTGACTTTCTTCACAGAACTGGAAAAAACCACCATGAACTTCATATGGAACCAAAAGAGAGCCTGCATAGCCAAGTCAATTCTAAGCAAAAAGAACACAGCGGGGGCATCACACTACCGGATTTCAAACTATACTACAAGGCTACAGTAATCAAAACAGCATGGTACTGGTACCAAAACAGAGATATAGACCAATGGAACAAAACAGAGGCACCGGAGGCAACACAACATACATACAACTATACAATCTTTGATAAACCTGACAAAAACAAGCAATGGGGAAAGGATTCCATGTTTAACAAATGGTGTTGGGAAAACTGGCTAGCCATGTGCAGAAAGCAGAAACTGGACCCCTTCCTGACACCTTACACTAAAATTAACTCCAGATGGATTAAAGACTTAAACATAAGACCTGGCACCATAAAAACCCTAGAAGGAAATCTAGGCAAAACTATCCAGGACATAGGAGTAGGCAAGGACTTCATGAACAAAACACCAAAAGCATTGGCAACAAAAGCCAAAATAGACAAATGGGACCTAATGAAACTCCACAGCTTCTGCACGGCAAAAGAAACAGTCACTAGAGTGGATCGGCAACCAACAGAATGGGAAAAAATTTTCGCAGTCTACCCATCTGACAAAGGGCTGATATCCAGAATTTACAAAGAACTCAAACAGATTTACAGGAAAAAAACAAACAAGCCCATTCAAAAGTGGGCAAAGGATATGAACAGATACTTTACGAAAGAAGACATATATGAGGCCAACAATCATATGAAAAAATGCTCATCGTCACTGGTCATCAGAGAGATGCAAATCAAAACCACATTGAGATACCATCTCACGCCAGTTAGAATGGCGATCATTAAAAAATCATTAAAAAATCTGGAGACAACAGATGCTGGAGAGGATGTGGAGAAAAAGGAACACTTTTACACTGTTGGTGGGAGTGTAAATTAGTTCAACCATTGTGGAAGACAGTGTGGCGATTCCTCAAGGCCTTAGAAATAGAAATTCCATTTGACCCAGCAATCCCATTACTGGGTATATATCCAAAAGTCTGTAAATCGTTCTACTATAAGGACACATGTACACGAATGTTCATTGCAGCACTGTTTACAATAGCAAAGACCTGGAATCAACCCAAATGCCCATTGATAATAGACTGGATTGGAAAAATGTGGCACATATACACCATGGAATATTATGCAGCAATCAGAAATGATGAGTTTGTGTCATTTGTAGGGACATGGATGAATCTGGAGAACATCATCCTCAGCAAACTGACACAAGAACAGAAAATGAAACACCGCATATTCTCACTCATAGGTGGGTGATGAAAAATGAGAACACATGGACACAGAAAGGGGAGTACTAAACACTGGGGTCTATTGGGGGGAAAAGGGGAGGGCCAGTGGGAGGGGGAGGTGGGGAGGGATAGCCTGGGGAGAAATGCCAAATGTGGGTGAAGGGGAGAAGAAAATCAAAGCACACTGCCATGTGTGTACCTACGCAACTGTCTTGCATGCTCTGCTCACGTACCCCAAAACCTAAAATCCAATAACAATTAAAAAAAAAAAAAAAAATTAACAGACATTACTTTATGGACATGAGGACTTGGGAGGCATTGTGTCCATTTTCGGCTCCTTATGGTTTATTGCTTGATTGTGTTCATTTTGGACCCTTGTTACCTTCATTGTAAAATATTAACTTAAGTATTTACACTTGGTAACTTACTTACCGTAACTTACTGGGTGTAACTGTAACTTACTTACCATAACTTACTGGGCGTAACCATAACTTACCGTAACTTACTGGGCGTAACTTACTTACCGTAACTTACTGGGCGTAACTGACTTACTGGGCTTAACTTACTTACTGGGCATAACTTAGTGGGCATAACTTGCTTACTGTAACTTAAGTATGTTGATCTGGCGTAAACAACATTAACTTCAGAAAAGTATATATTGGAACATATTGCAAAAATGACATTGCTGCTTGGACATAGCCTAAGCCAGCCCTCCAGACTCTGCTTTTCTTTTTTCTTTCACTTCCACGCACTCTCTCCCTCAGGTTGAACGAGACATCTACGTTGGCGATCTCGGGGACTCCCGCAGGTCGGTAGCCCCCCGGCAGACGTGCTGGACCCCAACAGCAAATGGGGAAGGAGAGAGAATAGGAAGACTCACACATGATTTTTTTTTTTTTTTTTTTTTTTGTGATGGAGTCTTGCTCTGTCACCAGGCTGGAGTGCAGTGGCACCATCTTGGCTTACTGCAACCTCCACCTCCTGGGCTCAAGGGATTCTCCTGCTTCAGCCTCCTGAGTAGCTGGGGCTACAGGCATGCACTACCACATCGAGCTAATTTTTGTATTTTTAGTAGAAATGGGGATTCACCACATTGGCCAAGATGGTCTCGATCTCTTGACATCGTGATCCACCGCCTTGGCCTCCCACAGTGCTGGAATTACAGGTGTGAGCCACAACCTGGCCACACATAATATTTTTTAGGGTTAAGCATATAAGTAGCATAATCACTTCCACCAATAATGCATTGGCTAGAACAGAGTTACATGACCCATATAACTGCAAGAGAGCTTGGGACATGTGCTCCAGATATGTGCTCAGAAGGAAAAGAACATAGAATTTAATGAATGCGTATCATTATGTCTGCCACAATCTACCCTTCTGATCATCATATCCATTTCACTTTTCCTCTCACATATGGAACACCCTCATCATCTCCCCCAAATCCTACCCAGTCACTGCATCCAACTCAGAGTCCGAGATCTCTGAATGATGCACAGTTCACTCCGTCAGATATAAATGAGGTTCCTCTTGGTCTGGAGATGTAAGAGAATCTCCTTTATTCATTGCTCTCAGTGATTTCTGGCTCTACTCCTGAGAAGTTTTCCCTCATTCTTTATCCTTGTTGACCAACACTGAAGTGGATGCTGGGGAGTATGCTCTTCTTAGGGACTGCAGGTTTTATAAACTGCTTCTTGCCCAGTGTGGTTTTAAGGATTTCCAGTCACAAGCTTTTTAAGACCAGGCTCATGGTTACTTAGTAATACCATTTCTCCAAAACCCATAAGCCTTCTCATCTGTTTGCTTCCAATTAGTTTCATGTGTCAAAAACCCCCCAAAAATTCTTTCCTAAACATAGTTTTCAAGTTTGTCCTATTTCTTTGCTTCCTTGCCCCTCTATGCCCTTCTCTCTCAACTTAATGGCAAGAAAGTTGAGGCTATGTGGAATAATAGTCATGGATAAGAAGGTGTCATCTTTGGCCGGGTGCGGTGGCTCATGCCTATAATCCCAGCACTTTGGGAGGCCGAGGCAGGTGGATCACAAGGTCAAGAGATCGAGACCATCCTGGTCAACAAGGTGAAACCCATCTCTACTAAAAATACAAAAATTAGCTGGGCATGGTGGTGCACGCCTGTGGTCCCAGCTACTCAGGAGGCTGAGGCAGGAGAATTGCTTGAACCCAGAAGGTGGAGGTTGCAGTGAGCTGAGATCGTGCCATTGCACTCCAGTCTGGGTAACAAGAGTAAAACTCCATCTCAAAAAAAAAAAAAAGGTGTCACCTTTAACCTGAACTTTGCTTGAAGGCTGAGTCACTTTATTTAGTTGAAAATAATTATTGGACCTTTTTTGCTTAACTCTCAATTTTATTTCTTCCTGTTTGGTCTCTAGAAGTCATAGTTCTTTGATTCCCCAAATTTCAGTACCTTCTCATTTCTGCCTACAAATTGGCCAATTCTTTCCCTAGTATAACTTTAAAAAAAAAAAATTTAGTACAGATGGGGTCACATTATGTTGCCCAGGCTGGTCTCAAATTCCTGTCCTCAAGCACTCCTCCTGTCTGGTATTTCCAAAATCCTGGGATGATAGGCATAATCCACTATACCCAGCCAACTCTTTCTTTTAATACCTGTCAGAGGGAGACAATATACAATGATATTTTGATTCTTTCTAATCACTTCTCTTAGAGCTGCAGGTTCATTAGGCATGTGGTCTACCCTTTAGTTTTACCAGATTCTTTAATGTTAACATGATTGCGATATTTTCAGCCTTTTATATCAGTTTCCTTATGACCCACCCCCTAACTGCTAAGCCCCACACATTTTAGACTTTTGTTAAAGCAGCTTCAATAATGGAATGATTAAGTGCTTGGGTTCTGGAAGTGGTTAAAATATTGTTTCTTCTACTCAGTAGCTAAGTGACTTTAGAAATGCTTTCTCGCTCTTAAGTTCCTCATCTATTATTAAAAGAGGATTATTGTAAATACCAAGTAATATGTGTAAATACTTAGCATAGTACCTAGCACTTAATTAGTCTTATTATGTTTTATTACTATTATCTCCCTTCAAAACCACAAGGAGAGCTCCTGCTGGGCTTTCTTTTCTGTCCTGTGTACTGCTGCCTAGAGCCTGTGAACCATAGGGCCTCCTTTCCCTCCCAGGAGAGGGATACTTTGTTGAGAGATAAGGCTCTAGAGGGTAGAACTGAAGCAGCACATACCTTGGATGAAATGTTCATTTAATTCTTTTTTTTTTTTCATTTATAGATTTTCCTGGTTTTAGGCATAATATGTTTTATCCTAGCGGTTGGGCATGGCATTTGGGAGAACAAGAAAGGCTACCACTTCCAGATTTTTCTGCCATGGGAAAAATATGTCTCTTCATCAGCTGTCTCTGCCATCCTCATATTCTGGTCCTACTTCATTATTCTCAATACCATGGTACCCATTTCACTCTATGTCAGGGAGGCTTCTTTGATCCCCTTGGGGTGTGAGGGTGGGGAACTGACTTCATACTGTCTACTTAATGCCTCAAACAAAGTGTGAACTTTTACAAAGCATATACTTGTGCTCTTTAACCCCTCACTCTCCACAGTACCTGGTTCTGAGATATATCTAGCGATTGCATGAATGCCCTCCACGTCTAGAATACTGTGCTAGGAAGACACTATGTGGCTTATACAACAAGAAAATTATCCCTGCCCTCAAATAACTTAAAATGTAAATGAATAAATAAGACATACAAACACATGAAATAACTAGAAAATATACACACAAATTTGGTGATGTAAAACATGGGTAGGTTCCTCAGGAACATAGACCAGGCAGCCCATAGTTTACCAATGAGATACGTCCAGACATTCACTTGTAAGTCAGTTCATCAGAATTCAGAATCCATTTTCCCACAGAAACAGTGTGACAGATGGTAGACATGTGTAATTGCGACCTAAGTTCAGTTCCTAAAAGTTGTAGAAGAGGAAGGGTTTTTACTCCTCTTTTTCATAAGCACCTTGGATGAAAATTTGAAATAGTTGAAAAAAGTATTTACCCTACTCTGATCATCCTTTTCTAGGTTCTGCATTACCTTACCCTTACACATGCACATGCCCAAACACACTTTAGTTTCTTCCTTTCCAGGCTTTCTAAACCTTGTACCAGGGCTTTTTGGCAAGAAAACTGCGTAACTAGATTACCTTATTTAGTAATATTTACTGCGTATGTACTATGTCCCAAGCACCCTTCTATGTTGTAGGGAGAGAAACGCGAATAATAAGACACTCTTTCTCTAGAGAAGCTTGCAATGTGGCTATGGAAACAGATACATAAATAAGGGACTATTGTATAATATGAAGAATGATGTAATAGAAATAATATAGGACCTTGCTAAGGAATGGATTTGTTCTACCTGGATAAGTTTAGGAATGTCTACAGAAAAGGTAATAACAAAACTGATATTTGAAAAAAAGAGTAGGACTCGGCAAACAAAATATTAGGAAAAGAATACTGCAAGCACAAAATTCAGCATGTACAAAGGTTTGGCGATTTTTAAAAGTTTCGTCTGTTCACAGAACAATGAATAGCTAGACTGAGGTATTGGATGGTCATTTAGGGTCAGATCGGAAAAGCCTTAAATTCCATGCCAAAGAGTTTGGATTTTCTCCTAAAAGCAGTAAAAAGCCAGCAAAGATCTAAGGAAAAAAATAATGTGATTTGAAGTTTGGGTTTATGACTTATAAGTGAGAGCTAAACATGGAGTACACATGGACACAAAGAAGGGAACAGTAAACACTAGGGCTTGCTTGAGCAGGGAGGGTAGGAGGAGGGTGAGGGTTAAAAACTACCTCTAGGGTACTCTGCTCACCACCTGGGTGAAGAACTCATTTGTATACCGAACCCTAGCAACACACAATATACCCATGTAAATACCTGCATATGTTGAAGAAAAAGGGAGATTTTTTAAAAAAAGTGGGGGGTTTAGTTTAGAGAGATTGCTGTGGTGGCTGATATGGTAAAGGATGGGAGGAGTCCCAACTCCAGGCATAGCGATTATCAGTAATGAGTCAATGATGAGGACCTGAGCACCTCCTACCTCACTTCAAAGGAAAAAAACCACATCATCTCTCAGTGCAGCTGTCTCAGACAGGGATTACTAATAAAGCAGACTACCACACATTCAGTTTGAATAATGATAAGAAGGAGACCTCTTAAAAGTCTTTACTGTTTTAAAATGAACATGCTTGTTAGCCATAAAGAATCTATAATGCATGCTATTTGGAGCAGAAGAGAAACATGACACAGGCAATAGGGAAAACTCATAAAATGAGAAGAGGCTCTTGTGGGGAGGAGGCACATGCCTGGAAATTTATCAGAGGGTCAGCTCATAAACTCTTCCTGATTTCCATAGCTTCTTTCCTTCTTCTGAAACAAATTCTGAGTGTGTCAAGTTTCTCTGTCTTCCCATGTGACAGGAGCAATAATCCTCCAAAGCTTTTTTTAAGTTAACTGTTAATCTATCACACCTTGCATTACTGCAGAAATTCCAAAATTGTAACTTTTCCTAGATATATTTTGGGAAAAAAGAAAGAAAGGTGTGACTTTAAAACATTAATCAAGTATATCTGGCTCCAGCCTTAAGTGATCATGGCCAAAGTCAGCATTACCATGGGTTGGATGGTGGGAAGGGTCCTTCAGAAGGGTAGAATCCCAAGGAAGACACTGATTTTCAGATGCTGGCCCTAATCTACCCTGCTAAGAAGGAAACCAGGATGATATATTTGCTTGCCCTCTTCTGATGCAGAACTGTTCTTTTCCTGCTTTCTCCTTAGTGTTGAAATAATAAGATTGGGCAACAGTTTCTATATCAACTGGGATCGGAAGATGTTTTATGCACCAAGGAATACACCAGCATAGGCTCATACTACCACCCTTAATGAGGAGCTCGGCCAAGTCAAATATATATTCTCTGACAAAACAGGGACCCTGACTCAGAACATTATGATTTTCAAGAAATGTTCTATTAATGGGAAGCTCTGTGGTATGCATGTCTTCCTGCTTTCCCCAAGTCCTGGGGAAATTTTACTTTGCAGATTGTTTTCAAGACTAATCTATATCTAACTCTATAAGCCTCTGGAATTCATATTTACTTCCTAGTCTCACAACTGTCTCTATTCTCTAAGCAAAGACCTCCTAGCCCAAACAGTTCTAACCAAAAACTATTTATTTAGTGTCTTATAGGTACAATCTATTATGTTGGGCATTGAGAATACCAAGATGTAACAGACTTAGTCTCTGTTCTCAAGGAGTTCCCAATGTCTGTATACTCAGTTCATTCCTGTATTAAATCAAATGCATGTTGGTCAAAGGGTACATAGTTTCAGTTAGGCAGGAGGAGTAAGTCTTCAAGATCCATTGCACAGCATGTTGATCCTAGTTAATAATAATATATTGCATATTTCAAAATTGCTAAGAGTTTTAAATGTTTTCACTACAAAAAAAGTATGTGAGGTGATGTTAGTTAGCGTGATATAATCATTCCACAGTGTATATATGTATGGAAACATCACGTTGTATCCATAAATATATACAATTATTATTTATTAATTAATAATAAAATTAAAAATAAATCAAATGGAGTAGTGTATTACTGAAGTTGCTAATTTCCTGATTCCCCTTTAGAGCAATAAATACTATTGAGAGAAACCATTAAAGGATAGTCAGAGTTTGATCACTGTCTCCTAGGCCCAATCCCTTATTTAGCTTATGCGTTAAGCATAAGCTTGTTTTCGTGATAGAGTTAAGTCCTCGTGTGTGTGAACATTCATACCCAGTGTCCTAGCTAGCAGAGGAAGGTAATCACATCTAAAAAGGTAGAACACATGCGATAATCTTTCTGGGGTGATGAAAAAGTTTTGAAACTTGAGAGAGGTGGTAGTTGCACATTATAAATGCACTAAATGCCTATAAATTGTATACATTAAAATAGATAATTATGTGTTAAGTAAATTACACCTCAATAAATAATTAAAATTTTTGAATTAAAAAAATGCTAGGCTGGGTATATTGGCTCACACCTATAATCTCAGTATTTTGGGAGGCCGAGGCAGGCAAATCACCTGAGGACAGGAGTTTGAGACGAGCCTGGCTAACATGGTGAAAAACCCCATCTCAACTAAAAATACAAAAAAATCAGTCAGACATGGTGGCGCATGCCTGTAATCCCAGCTACTTGGGAGGCTTAGAATCACTTGAACCCGGGAGGCAGAGGTTGCAGTGAGCCGAGATTGCACCACTGCACTCGCCTGGGCGACAAGAGTGTCTAAAAAAGAAAAAAGCTAGGCCGGGTGTGATGGTTCACGCCTATAATCCCAGCACTTTGGGAGGCCAAGGCCGGCGGATCACGAGGTCAAGAGATTGAGACTATCCTGGTCAACGAGGTGAAACCCCGTCTCTGCTAAAAATACAAAAATTAGCTGGGCGTGGTGGTGCGCGCCTGTAGTCCCAGCTACTCGGGAGGCTGAGGCAGGAGAATTGCTTGAACCCAGAAGGCAGAGGTTTCGGTGAGCCAAGATCGTGCCATTGCACTCCAGTTTGGGTAACAACAGCGAAACTCCGTCTCAAAAAAAAAAAAAAAGAAAAGAAAAAAGCTGGAATACTCTAATATTTCCTATTATTTTCTGTATTTCCTATTACTTGTTTGGTAATGCTGCCAAACAAATTTTCACTTACATACACTCTGAAGGCTTATTTTTGGATGAGTTGATTTGGATGAGCTTCTTAATTCTCTGGCTCATTTTAAGACCTGACCATATACTGGGTAAGGTTGAAAAGGACCGTGAGTGTTTTCATGCTTGGCATCAGATATATCTTCTACCTCGATTCTGTCTGTCATCCACTGGCCAAGAATCCCAAACACTCTATGTCCACATCTCTTCTGAGTAACTCTTATGATTGGAGGGCTTCCTGAGGTGTGAAGTCTCTCACAGATCCAGTGACTAACTTCTAGCTTCATCTTATTCTCACCTAGGAGAGAAGAGTTGAGGCCCAAGCAAACCTCTTACCACTGGCTTAGAGAAAGGAGCTTACCGGGCACTAGGAGCTAAGTGGCCTGAGGGGATTGGGGAAAGTTTGACTGCAAGTCTAAGACAAAGGAATCAGAAGAAACAAGCTTTTCAGACCCCTCCTTTAAATTACCATATGGTCTAGCAATTTGATTCCTAGGTATATACCCCCAAAACTTGAAAACAAGAACTTGGATACATGTATACCAACATTCATTGTGACATTATTTTACAAAAGTCCAAAGGGAGAAATAACCCACATGTCCATCCACAGTTGAATGGATAAAGAAAATGTAATACAGCATATACATACAATGGAATGTTAATTATCCATAAAAAGTAATGAAATTCGATACATGCTACAACATGAAAAAACTTTGAAAGCATTATGCTAAATGAAGTAAGCCAAACACAAAAGACAAAAATGTTATGCTTCTACTTATGTCAACTATCTAGAATAGGCAAATTCATAGAGACAGAAAGTAGATTAGAGGTTACTAGGGGCTGGTGATGGGGAGAAATGGGAAATTTCTGTTTGGGGTGCTGAAAAAAATGTTGGAAATATATAGTGGTGATTGTTGCACAACATTGTGAATATAACTAATGTCATTGCATTTTACATTTAAAATAGCTAAAATGGTAAGTTTTATGATATGTATTATATATATATATACATTGTTCTGTATACCACAATTTAAAGAAATTCAAACGCTCCTTTCAAACCCTTGCCAAGTCTCTGCTGTGTTCACTTACCAACAGGTGATACTTATGACAAGGATGGACAGAGGGTGACAGTCTCTGAGGTGAGTGATTACAGCTCCAAGAGAAATGCATGTGGAGCTGACTGAGGCTGTACTTCAGAGAAGCATCTTTAACACAAATTGAGACTCCCTTAGCCACTGAAATATTAAAACTTTTACTGGCCCCATATGGCAGAAAGCATTATATAAATGACCATTGTTTTATTCTGAAGATCTTCATTTGTTCTTTTTAAATGAAAATAGCTTTATTGGTTTTTTTCTCTTTAAAAAATAATCTGTGCTCATTGTAAAAAAAATTCTTCACATAGAAATGTAAAATCATAATGTGAATGCTATTTCTAGTTTCCTTTTGTTCACTTGACACTATATTGTAATCATTTTTCCATGCCGGTAGGCCTAGGTCTACATCATCATTTTACTTTATTTGTATTTATTTATTTTATTTAGAGGCAGAGTCTCTCTCTCTTGTCACCAGGGCTGGAGTGCAGTGGTGCCATCTTGGTTCACTGCAACCTCTGCCTCCCGGGTTCAAGTGATTCTCCTGCCTTAACCACCTCCCCGCAATACAGGCATCCACCACTATGCCCAGCTAATTTTTTGTATTTTTAGTAGAGACAGGGTTTCACCATGCTGGCCAGGCTGGTCTCAAACTCCTGATCTTGTGATTCACCTGCCTCAGCCTCCCAAAGTGTTGGGATTACAGGGGTGAGCTGCCATGCCTGGCCTACATCATCATTGTGAATGGGTGTCTACCATTCAATTGCATCAGTGTACCTTAATTTATTTAATTCCTTATTTTATTTAATTTTCTTTTGCTATTACATATGACATTTTGGTGACTATTATGGCACATACATTTGTCTACTTTTCTGATAATTATTTCTTTAGAATAAAGCCCTAGAAGTAAAATCCATTGGTCAAAAGGTAGCCACATTGTAACAGATTAAATATTACCATATTGCCCTCCAGATAGATTTCATAACTTTATAATCCCACCAAAAATATGTGACAGTTTCTTTCCCCCCATATGATTGTCAGAACTGATATTAATAATTTTTAATCTGTTGAAATTTAATTGATGAAAAATAGTATTTCATTATTTAATTTACCTTTTTGAATCATTTTTATGTGCTTATTTTTCTTCCCCTTACCATCTCTTTATTGCCCATTTATACTTACTTTGTGAACTATCTATTCCTATTCTTTGGCCTTTTTTTCTTATTTCTAAATGTTCTTTGTACAGTAAAAATACCAGCTCTTCCTTTGTCTGGTGCATATGTTAAAATTATTTTTCCCATTTTGTCTTTTGGTTTTTAATTTTTTAAATATTGTTTTGTGTAGAAGTTTTTAATTCATGTAATCAAATCAGGTCGATCATGATTGATCATTTTCCTTTATAACTTAAGGATTTGTGACATATTCAACAGTCTATATACAATTATAAAAATATCTTCCTATTCATTCTTCCTATCTCTAGCTAGTTAATTTTTGCTGTTTCTCTAGTATTAGACACAGCTTTCATTTATGGGTGTGTTTTTAAGTATCCCTTCACAGGGGTTCCTCTGTGGCCTTCAGGGTACTCCTCACCTTATCCCTGTCTTGCTAGACCCAATTCCAAACTCTCAGTCACTTGACTTATGTACCAAACATCTGACTCCAGTTCAACTGTTGCCTTACCCCTATCCATTGAAAGAGGTTGGGAAGGGGAAGGAAATTCAGGGATTTGCCTTAAATCGTCTTCCAACAGCTCTGCTAATGACCTTGGCATTATTGGCAAAGTTATAGCTTCTAGGGAGAAAATTCCTCCTTGGGTTTCTTTCCTCTCCCTCTTTTGTCTACTACTGATTGACCATAGCACATTTTTCACGAAATCACTGGAATCTTTGTTCTCTTGTAAACAAACTTACCTATAGCCTCAATCCCTTCATTAAAATGCTCCCTGCTTTAATTGAAACATGACTTTCCCTGGGAACATCCCTTTTTTTCCAATCTCTCCATACTCTGCATATGATAAACTCTGAATACAATAAGCTCAAAGGTATTGCCCTCATTATCCTGTGCCATGATTAAACCATTAGTTTTTCTCCCCTATACAGTCTTTCTTCCTGGCTATACTCATCTTTAACTCTTCTTGTTGACATCTAGGAATCTTCTGGCTTCTATACCCCATTCATTGAGGACTTTGAAACTTCTCCCTCTCCTCCAAATCACTGAGTGGTATTGTCATCTTTATGGATGACCTATCACTATAGACTCTTTCAGATATCTGAAAGAATCCTTCAGATGTTCAGATGACCTCTTAGACTAAAAAAAAAAAAGACATATTGTAACTTTCTTTTCACAGTCTTTGATCACAAGCCTGGCCTTATTCCTCCATATTCTCAGCACATGGCTCAGTAGTTGTGATTTTTTTTTTAAGTATTCCTGCTTTTTTATCTCATGGAGATTTATGAACCCTTGGCTTTTGTTTTTCTCCAGTCTGTCAATTCCTTATGACTTTACTTCCTTTCCCAGCTTACCTTATGTACCCTGGGATCATAAGTGTCCTTAATATCTTACTAGTTCTCCTTTCCTTCTCTTTAATTACTGAACAAATCTCAACCTTGAATTAACCAAACCATCGACCCTGCTTTGTTTCTAATCTGAGAGTGTTGAGCATTATTTTGGAGATCACAAAACCATTACAGATTCAGAGAGTCAACTGTCCTCTGGGCCCCCAGTGCTACTTGGCAAATTTTTCACCATTTTGCAATTGGCTTCATATTATATTCTCCGTATCAGCTTTTCTAAAAGCTGATATCACCATTCTCAGGCCTTCTACCACACTCCCCTGGCTCCTCAGTATGTAGCAGATGATATTGCCTTCTATTTTACCGAGGAAAATCCAAACTATCAGCGAACTATCCTTCTCTGTGCATATATCTCAACTTGCCTTTACCCCCTTTCCTTCAGTCTCAAAAAAGGTATAATCTTTTTTTTCAGTACTAACCTATATATTCTAGATTCCATTCCTTCCTTCCTACTTCTTCAGGAACCTCAGTCAATCTCTCTTTCTTAATATCTGAATATCACCTTATATATTAGGATTTATGATTCTTTCCCCTCAGCTTTTTTTTCGTTTGTTTTTTTGTTTTTTTCAGAGTCTCACTCTGTTGCCCAAGCTGAAGTGCAGTGGCACCATCTCAGCTCACTGCAGCCTCTACCTCCCAGGTTCAGATGATTTTACCTCAGTCTCTTAAGTAGCTGGGATTATAGGCGTGGCCACCACACCCAGCTAATCTTTGTATTTTTTAGTAGAGAAGGGGTTTCACTATGTTGGCCAGGCTGGTCTCAAACTCCTGGCCTCAAGTGATCTGCCCACCTCAGCCTCCCAAAGCTCTGGGATTACAGATGTGAGTCACCATGCCTGGCCTCAGCTCAGCTCTTTACATTAGTACATCCATACAATGGAATATTATTCAGCAGTGATAAGAAGTGTGCTATCAAGCCACACACACCCCACAGAGGAACTTTAAGTTCATATTGCTAAGTGAAAGAAACCCATTTGGGCTGGTCCGAGTGCAGTGGTGTTTACAACTAATTGATCACAACCAGTTACAGATTTCTTTGTTCCTTCTCCACTCCCACTGCTTCACTTGACTAGCCTAAAAAAAAAAAAAAAAAAAGAAACCCATTTGAAAAGGTTACATACTGTGTGATTCCAAATATATGACATTTTGGAAAAAGCAAAACTATAAAGACAGTAAAAACAAAAAGATCAGTGGTTACCAGGGGTTTGGCGAGAGTGGGGAGAGGGATAAAGCAGTGGAGCATGGGAGATGTTTGGGGCAGTGAAACTATTCTGTATGATATTGCCATGGTGGATTCATAATATTATGTGCTTGTCAAAACCCATGAATCAACAACACAGAGTCAAAGATGATATAAACTATGGGTTAGTTAATAATAATGTAGCAATATTGGTTCATCAGTTGTAACAAATGTACCACAGTAATGCAAGATGTTGATAGGGAAAACCTAGGGGTGGAGGTGAGAGAGGGGTTACACAGGAACTCTCTGTACTTTGCTCAGCTTTTTTGTAAACCTGAAACTGTTCTTAAAAAAAGGAGTATTAGGCCAGGCATAGAGGTTCACACCTGTAATCCTAGCACTTTGGGAGGCCAAGATGGGCAGATCACTTGAGGCCAGGAGTTCGAGACCAGCCTGGCCAACATGGCAAAATCCTGGCTCTACTAAAAATACAAAACTTAGCTGGGTGCGGTAGCCATGCTACTTGGGTGGCTGAGGCACAAGAGTCACCTAAACCCAGGAGGCTGAGGCTGCAGTGAGCTGAGAGTGCACCATTGCACTCCAGCCTGAGCAACACAGTGAGACTCTGTCTCAAAAAATAAAGTATTTAATTGTAAATAAAATAAATGGGCTTTTAAAAGCCACAGTTTGTTAACCAGAAGTAACCATAACAATACATTTTTAATATTTTATTTTTATTCATATTTTTAAAAATACTTAGAACCTTACCTTGTTCTTAACATTTCCCTGTAGCCATTATCTGTCTCCACCAGTCAATCTAAAATATTGATTGTCTACCATATGTTAGACCCTGAGTAAGTACAAAAAGGCTCAGGGAAAACAAAACAGGTTTGATTCCTATCTTCAGAGTTGGCAGCTTAGAGGAGGAGTCAGAGAAGTAAACAGGCAATTATAGCAGTCACTAATTCCTCCCCTTTCATTCATTCTTCATCCTGCTCTATGTATTTCAGACTCTGTCCTATCATATCCACTGAAACTATCCTAGCCGACATCATGAATGACTACCTTGTTATTAAATCCTGACCCAACTTCTCTGTGGATTTTAACACTCTTAAACTCCCCCTTTCCTTAAAGCTCTCTTGTCCCTTGACTTCTGTTAAATAACAGCTTTCTTCTTGTTTTTCCTTCTTGTCTGATTGCTTTTCTCATCTCATTGCATTGGGTGCTGATATTACCTCACGGCTCTATTATTTAACCTCTTCTCCATCTCTATAGTCTCCTTATATAATCTTATATATTTACATGGCTTTAACTACTACGTATGTACTGATAACCTCCAAATTCATAAATCTAAGGAAACTCAGATAACTCTCTCCCATTCATGGCCAAAGCTAAAGACATCCTATAAAAACTGTTATAGCCATACCACAAAATCTCAAGAGTTTCCTCAGTTGCTACCTTCTACCCTCCGTTCTGAATCCACTTCCTCTCAGGTGTCATCCTCAGTTTCTATCCTTTTGTCTAATACTTGGACTTGCTTTCCATAGTTGTTTAACTGGTTGTCTTGCTTTCAATTTCAGAGTTATCCATGAGTGCTGCCTCTTAGATTATGCTGTTCTGCAGCTCCCAGCCAGCCCTGCCTCAGTCCTGAACCCAGCCAGGTCCAGTGTTTCTCAAATATTACTTATCTGAAAGAGGAGATCATAAACTAGCTCATATTTCTTTCCTGACCTTCAAAACTGTATGTACAACTGCCTGATTTCATTGCTACCGTTATGTCTTCAGCATCTCCAATTCAGTCTGTCAAAAAATCTTCTCCTACTGGGTATTCTATCTCAGTGAATAGTCTCACTGTCTATCCAAGGGCCCAATTAGGAAATATAAAATTATGCCTAACTCTTCTTCTCTTTTACTCCTCATATCCATGTCCTATCAATTCTAGCTCTCTATATTTTGAAATCCATCCCCTTAATTTAATATTCATTGTCACTACTTTGTTATGCCGGACCGAGCATAGAAAGTCAACACCAAGACAAAAGTATGCCAAATTGCAGGGTTTATTGCCAGCGACCATGGAGGACTCACGTCTCTCCAACCCGTGGCAGAGAAAGAAGGGTGACAAGACCTTTTTATACCCGTAAAACCACCTTGGGAGTGGGGGTGAGGGGCGGGGATGGGGGTGAGGGGCTTCAGACATTCCGAGGGCTAGTGGATTCTGCAAATCACCTTCTGGGCAGAGATGAGGGTGAGGGATGGGGATGGGGGTGAGGGGTTTCCGGACATTCCGAGGGCCAGGGGACTATTTGACATTCTGATTGTTACTGAAGTGGTTCACAAAAGCTAAGATTAGCATTCGTCTACACATTGTCTGGGTAGGGTGGGGATCACAGTCTTTAATTACTTATTCACATTTGAGTTATAGAGAGCAGCTTCAACAGAAAGCTGTGGTATGGTTGAGGTATGCAGTTTTATGGGGCTTTTTACCATGTCTTACTTCATCATTTATCTTGTGAATCACTGAGTGGTCTCCTAACTGGTCTCCCTGTTTCTCTTCTTGCTAGTTCCAACATATTCTTCCTGTGGCTACTAGAGGACTTTCTCCGACATGAATCTATGTCACTTCCAGTGGAAAATCACTATGACACCTTATTCATTGGTAATAAGATGGTAATACAGGATCCTGCTCGTGCCTTCCTCTCTATTCTTGTCTCTCCTTACTCACCAGCCTCTAGTTTCAAAGAATGTGTCACAATAAAAGCCCAATTCTGGAAGAGCCTCAGGATATATATGCTATATAATGGGTCATCTTAAATTACTGAAGCCATGAACTTCCCAGAGCTCATAACTCTATGGTTGGCCAAGTCTAGGGCTTGGTTCTGGACTTGACCATACTTCCTTGCTGCCCTGACAAACTCCGTCTGGATAAGATATAGAAAAGAGCCAAGATACCTCACTATGATCTTTCCTTTCCCCAACATAGCACCAAGCAACAAAACTGTGTCTGTACTTGACATAGAAGGACCCAACCCAAGTAATACCACATATGCAGAGAACTGGAGAAAGATCCTTGAGAGTTCTGGTAGGAGCTGGAGAAATGTGTTCATGACATTGCACTCCAGCGTGGAGATAAGAAAGTCTTAGGGCTGGCTGGGCACAGTGACTCACACCTGTAATCCCAGTACTTTGGGGGGCCAAGGTGGGTGGACCACTACTTGAGGCCAGGAATTCGAGACCAGCCTGGCCAACATTGTGAAACCCCATCTCTATTAAAAATACAAAAATTAGCCAGGCATGCTACTGCATGCCTGTAATTCCAGCTACATGGGAGGCTGAGGTACGAGAATTACTTGAACTCAGGAAGTGGAAGTTGTGGTGAGCCAAGATTGTGCCACTGCACTCCAGCCTGGGTGACTGAGACTCTCAACAACAACAAAAACTGCCTCCAAATTGATCTAAAAGTATCAAGCTGCTGCTGAAAATTTTGTTCTGTCTTATGTGTTCCAGAAAGAAAAGGTCGATTTCTCCTTCAACAAACCAGCTAATCCTAAGTTTTCATTTTATGACAATACTTTGGTGGAAGCAGTGAAAAAGGGAGATCACTGGGTACACTTATTTTTCCGCTCACTCTCATTGGTTCATACCGTGATGTCAGAAGAAAAAGTAGAAGGTGAGGAGAGTCCTAAGGTGGCTTCATGGACTGAGAATATGTCATGGAGTCTAGGCTGGAGGTGGCGTGATTTGATATGCTTCGCAATGGCTTAATCTAAGAAAGAACTTTCTGTTTGGAAAACTCTGCCCCTATCGTGAAAGCTCTCTTTCCCTCCCCCACAAAGAGGCTCCCTTATCTCTCACTCTACATACCGCTCTAGCCTTCCTGCCCGGCCACAGCCACCTCCCGCCTGGCAAACTGCTGACCAATCACCGCCTGCCTCATCAGCACTCCCCAGCTTCCCGCTGCCCAGCTTCCCGCCCAGCGGTTTAAACTGACCAACCTTTGCCCGCCACCTCGGCTCTCTCAGCTTCCCCACTCCCTCAGCCCTTCATCCCCCTATAAAAGAACCCTGCTCCTCTGAGCGGCGCGGCCATTTTCCTATTCTTCTCGGCTGGTCCGCCCGGAGGCTCTTTCCTCTCAATAAAGCCTGAACTTAAGACTTTCTTCTAACCTGCGGTCCAGTTTTTTTCCGAACGAACTCTGTCCTCCTGCAGAGGGTAGGTCGGACACTTTCTACTGGATAGATTTCTCTGGCAATGGAATGGATAGTCAAGATAAGTGTGAGCTCCTTTGAATATCGGAGGTATTCAAGTAGAAAACAAACTCTTGGTTGGCCAGGCACGGTGGCTCACGCCTGTAATCCCAGCACTTTGGGAGGCCGAGGTAGGTGGATCACGAGGTCAAGAGATCAAGACCATCCTGGTCAACGTGGTGAAACCCCGTCTCTACTAAAAATATAAAAAATTAGCTGGGCATGGTGGCACGTGCCTGTAATCCCAGCTACTCAGGAGGCTGAGGCAGGAGAATTGCCTGAACCCAGGAGGTGGAGGTTGCAGTGAGCCGAGATCGCGCCATTGCACTCCAGCCTGGGTAACGAGAGTGAAACTCCGTATCAAAAAAAAAAAAAAAAAAAAAAGAAACATTAACCAAGCATGGTGGTGTGCACCTGTAGTCCCAGCTACTCAAGAGGCTGAGGTGGGAGGATCACCTGTGTCCTGGAAGCAGAGGTTGCAGTGAGCCAAGATCATGCCACTGCACTCCAGCCTGGGCGACAGAGCAAGACCCTGTCTCAAAAAATTAATTAATTAAGGAGATTTTTTTCCTTAACAAATAAGAATTTGGACAACTAGGCCAGGCATGGTGGCTCATGCCTGTAACCCCAGCACTTTGAGAGGCCAAGCTGGGCAGATCACAAGGCCAGGAGTTCAAGACCAGCCTGGCCAAGATGGTGAAACACTGTCTCTACGAAAAATACAAAAATTAGCTGAGCCGAGTTCATGCCACTGCACTCCAGCCTGGGGGACAGCGAGATTCCATCTCAAAAAAAAAAAAAGAATTTAGACAATCAGATGAATCACATCCTTTAAAAATCAATGTACTCTTAATACTACCAGTAGTGACACCTTATAGTTGTATATCACTTACAGTTTTACAAATTGCTTTCATTTGTGTTATCTCCTCCAGTCTTCATATCAGCCCTCTGAGGTTGGCAGAACAAGAAAGATGAAACTGTTGCTAAGGGAGCTTAACTTACTTGCCTAAAATCCTATAGCTAAGAAGAGCAGAGATAAAAACCCAATCTCATGTCCTACCACATGCTTCTCTGGTCTCCTGCTTTTCCAACAAGCTGCTATTATTTGAAGTATATTTGGCCTTGGCCTTGTTTACTGCCTTAAGGGACAGAGTAGGAAACACACAAGAAAATAATCTCAATTGTTCAATAGATGTATCTTATATCTGACCAGAAATTATATTCCCCACCTACCTTATTCACAAGCATAAGACTCTAATGATGCATAACTGTTTTAAAAATCAAATCAACCTTCAGAAGAGAAATAATCTAAAATATACCTCAAGTTGTGATAATATTCTTTTTTTTTTTTTCTTTTTGAGATGGAGTTTCGCTCTTGTTACCCAGGCTAGAGTGCAATGGTGTGATCTCAGCTCACCGCAACCCCCGCCTCCTGGGTTCAGGCAATTCTCCTGCCTCAGCCTCCTGAGTAGCTGGGATTATAGGCACGCGCCACCATGCCCAGCTAATTTTCTGTATTTTTAGTAGAAACAGGGTTTCACCATGTTGACTAGGATGGTCTCGATCTCTTGACCTCGTGATCCACCTGCCTTGGCCTCCCAAAGTGCTGGGATTACAGGCTCGAGCCACCGCGCCCAGCCCAAGTTGTGATAATGTTCTAACAGAGAAGTTCCATAAATATCTTGAGTGATATCAAATTGATCAATAAGGTGAGTCATTTACCTTCCCAGAGTGACTTTTAAAGGTGATAACACTCATTTATATATATATTTTTTAATTGTTTACTAAATCATCAATCTTATTTTCTCATAGCATTGTTTTTAAAAGTGTGATCAGTTTTATGCAGGATGACCTGCATGAGAATCACCCAGGAGATTCATTAAAAATTCATTTTCTTAGGCCTTCATCCCAGATTTTGTGATTACGGATTCAGTCAAGTTTGGGCAAGGCCCAGGAACCAGCATTTTTAACAAGTTTCCTGAGCCATCTTTACTCACTAAGTTCAAAGAATAACTGCCTGTTCAGTTTGTATACACTGTATGTAACATATACTTCTGTAATGCCAACTTAAGTCTGTAAAGTAAGTTGAAAATGATGGAAATGAAGGCGAGGTGTGGTGGCGTATGCCCATAATCTCAGCACTTTGAGATGCTGAGACAGGAGGATCACTTGAGCCCAGAATGTTCGATACCAGCCTGGGCAACGTAGGGAGACCCCATCTTAAAAAAAAAAATCCAGGTGTGGTGCACACCTGTGGTCACAGCCGCTTGGGAGAGTGAGTTGGGAGGATTGCTTGAGCCTGGGAGGTTGAGTCTGCAGTGATCCGCAATCACATGGCCTGGGTGACAGAGTGAGAACCTATCTCAGAAAAAAGAAAGAAAAGGAAGGGAAAAGAGACTGTTATGTTCTGTGCAATCTGGCCTTTTAGAGCCACAGTTGTGAGGTAGTTTTAAAGAAACATGCTCCTTTCTGGGCTCTATCTTTATGTAAACCACTTAGAAGACAGGGTCACTTCTGGGTGGACTTCAACTACTCATCTCTGTGTGCTCTGGTTGCCCTTTTCTCTCCTGTCAGGCATGCTGGTGTACCAGGTTCAGTCACCAGATGAAGGTGTCCTGGTCACTGCTGCCAGGAACTTTGGCTTTGTGTTCCATTCCCGCACGTCTGAGACAGTCACAGTGGTCGAAATGGGGAAAACCAGAGTCTACCAACTGCTGACTATTTTGGACTTCAACAATGTGCGCAAGAGGATGTCTGTTATTGGTGGGTGCCCTTCCTAGTTGGCCTTCTCCCCTTTGTCCTTCAAACATATTCACACGTTGTCTCTCTCTTTTATCTACACACAAATGCTTTCTCCCACTCACAGACTTTCTCATAGGTACGTGCCTCAAATACAAATCTGCAGCCATCCCTACTTTCTCACATATCCTTTAACTTTTCTCTTACACACATATGGGGGCTTGCTACCATATGCTCAGTCCACACTAAGTCCCTAGTGTTCCTGAGCAGTGGCTTGTCAGCACCCTCAAAGCCAAGGTAAGAGCAAAGAATAAATTTATAAAGCCTGAACATGGAATAAGAGATGGGAGCAGACAGTATAGGAGAAATTCATCCCGTCTTGCTCTCTTAGTTAGTTTGAGCCTCAGACTAATGAGGAATAAGGTCATTTTTCACCTTTGGCATTACTAGATAAGAGCCTTAGTCTGGGACTTGGAGATAGTAAATGTGATTCTACATCAGACTCTTCCACAGGTAGTATTGAACCCATGGAAAAACTGGTTCTATAATTTCCTCTCTCACTTTTAGCAGCCCTCACCACATCATTTATCCTGTGTGACCACTCATTGAGTACTTAGCTTCCATTAAAGGTAGAAACAATGTCACGGGGAATAGCCTCCTATCATCCCCCATTGGCTCAGACAAGTTATAATAAGGAACTGATGTAGTTACTTTGCTTAATTTGCTTATCTTTAGTGTGGACACCTGAAGATTGGATAATGTTTTGCAAGGGTGCAGACACCATCATCTGTGAACTGCTTCATCCATCCTGTAGTTCCCTCAATGATGTGTCCATGGAACATTTAGATGTAAGTGTTAGGCTGCAGTGGGAGGAAGGTGCGGGTAGTTCTCTGTATCTGGATATGTGGCCACATGGGTGTTCCTGGGCCATTGTGTTTCAATATGGCTGTATAATGATGTTCGTGTCTCCCTTTAATTGGTGGAAGAATAAAATTTCTTATTTTGTGGGATTTTTACCAACCACATTGCCAACTTCCATATCAAAGAGTTGGGTGTGACAGTACCTCAGAGGCATGATGAGGATTGTCATAGGAGTATAACAACAATCAGAATAGTTCCCTGGTTCTTGGTTCCGGAGTTTCCATGGTCAGACCTGGAGTTTGCTTTAAAATAGGACCTGTTGTTTCTTTCTCTTGCCTGATTGCTCTGGCCAGAACTTCCAATACCATGCTGAATAGGAGTGGTGAGAGAGGAGATCCTTGTCTTGTGCTGGTTTTCAAAGGGAATGCTTCCAGCTTTTGCCCATTTCGTATGATATTGGCTGTGGGTTTGTCATAAATAGCTGTTATTATTTTGAGATATGTTCCATCATCACCTACTTTATTAAGAGTTTTTAGCATGAAGGGGTGTTGAATTTTATCGAAGGCCTTTTCTGCATCTATTGACATAATCATGTGTTTTTGTCATTGGTTCTGTTTATGTGATGGATTATGTTTACTCATTTGCATATGTTGAACCAATCTTGCATCCAGGGATGAAGCTAACTTGATCGTGGTGGATAAGCTTTTTGATGTGCTGCTGGATTCAGTTTGCCAGTATTTTATTGAGGATTTTTGCATCATTATTCAAATAGGAAGAGTGGAGGTCAAATTGTCTCTGCAGATGACATAATTGTATATTTAGAAAACCCATTGTCTCAGGCCAAAATCTCCTTAAGCTGTTAAGCAACTTCAGCAAAGTCTCAGGATACAAAATCAGTGTGCAAAAATCACAGGCATACTTATACACCAATAATAGACAAACAGCCAAATCATGAGTGAACTCCCATTCACAATTGCTACAAAGAGAATGAAATACCTAGGAATACAACATACAAGGGATGTGAAAGACCTCTTCAAAGAGAACTACAAACCACTGATCAAGGAAATAAGAGAGGACACAAACAAATGGAAAAACCTTCCATGCTCATGGATAGGAAGAATCAATATCATGAAAATGGCCATACTGCCCAGAGAAATTATAGATTCAATGCTATCTCCATCAAGCTACCATTGACTTTCTTCACAGAATTAGAAAAAAACTTCTTTAAATTTCATATGGAACCAAAAAAGAGCCCGTATAGCCAAGACAATCCTAAGCGAAAAGAACAAAGCTGGAGGCTTCACACTACCTGACTTCAAACTATACTACAAGTCTACAGTAACCAAAACAGCATGGTACTGGTACCAAAACAGATATATAGACCAATGGAATAGAACAGAGGCCTCAGAAATAACACCACACATCTACAACCATCTGATCTTTGACAAACCTGACAAAAACAAGCAATGAAGAAAGGATTTCCTATTTAATAAACGGTGTTGGGAAAACTGGCTAGGCATATGCAGAAAGCTGAAACTGCACACCTCCCTTAAACCTTATACAAAAATTCACTCAAGATGGATTAAAGACTTAAATGTAAGACCTAAAACTATAAAAACCCTAGAAGAAAACCTAAGCAATACCATTCAGGACATAGGCACGGACAAAGACGTCATTACTAAAACACCAAAAGCAATGGCAACAAAAGCCAAAATTGATAAGTGGGATCCAATTAAACTAAAGAGATTCTGCACAGCAAAAGAAACTGTCAGCAGAGTGAACAGGCAACCCAGGGAATGGAAGAAAATTTTTCAATCTATCCATCTGACAAAGGGCTAATATCCAGAATCTACAATGAATTTAAATTTGTAAGACAAAAAAAAAAAAACATCAGAAAGTGGATGAAGGATATGCACAGACACTTCTCAAAAGAAGACATTTATGTGGCCAAGAAACATGGAAAAAATGCTCATCATCACTGGTCATTAGAGAAATGCAAATCAAAACCTCACTGAGACACCATCTCATGCCAGTTAGAATGGCGATCATTAAAAAGTCAGGAAACAGATGCTGGAGAGAATTTGGAGAAATAGGAATGCTTTTACATTGTTGGCGGGAGTGTAAATTAGTTTAACCATTGTAGAAGACAGTGTGGCAATTTCTCAAGTATCTAGAGTCAGAAATACCATCTGACCCAGCAATCCCATTACTGGGTATATACCCAAAGGATTACAGATCATTCTGCTATAAAGACACATGCACACATATGTTTATTGCAGCACTATTCACAATAGCAAAGACTTGGAACCAACCCAAATGTCCCTCAGTGATATACTGGATAAAGAAAATGTGGCACATACACACCATGGAATACTATGCACCCATAAAAAAGGATGAGTTCAGTTGGATGTGGTGGCTCACACCTGTAATCCCAGCACTTTGGGAGGCCAAGGCAGGTTGATCATGAGGTCAAAAGATCAAGACTATCCTGGCCAACATGGTAAAACCCCATCTCTACTAAAAACTGCAAAAATTAGCTGGGCATGGTGGCATGTGCCTGTAGTCCCAGCCACTCAGGAAGCTGAGGCAGGAGAATCGCTTGAACCCAGGAGGCAGAGGTTGCAGTGAACTGAGATCATGCCACTGCACTCCAGCCTAGCAACAGAGCAAGACTCTGTCTCAAAAAAAAAAAAAAAATGAGTTTATGTCCTTTATGGGGACACGAATGAAGCTGGAAACCATCATTTTCAGCAAACTAACACAGGAACAGAAAACCAAACACTGCATGTTCTCATTCATAAGTGGGAGTTGAACAATAAGAACACATGGACACAGGGAGGGGAGCATCACACACCAAGGTCTGTTGGGGACTTGGGGGGTAGGGGAAGGATAGCATTAGGAGAAATACCTAATGTAGATGATGGGTTGATAGGTGCAGCAAACCACCATGGCACATGTATACCTCTGTATTAAACCTGGATGTTCTGTACATGTATCCCAGAGCTTAATGTATATTTTTAAATAGCCAAAGAAAGAATAGAACCTGTTCTTTCATGAGGCTCTACCCCACCAGCCATGATAAGAATAGAGCAGAAAACACCAGGCCTAAGCTGTTTGATACCTCTCTCTGTGTCCACAGGATTGGAATCTCCAAAGGCACCTTCCCTTCCTTACCCTACCCTGGCTCTGAACCCAGTACACTCTAGGATTTGGGATGTATCAAAAAGAGAGAGTAGGTCTAGCCATCTAGCATAAGAAAGGAAAACCAGATCCATACTCTCTGGGGTTTCCACCCTTAAATTTGTATATTCAAAGGGTTGGGGGAGTAGGGAGAGAACAAGGGACAGAATGAGAATGAAGATAGATCACAAAAATGTTTGATAAATCTATTAGAAAATATGCTATTTTATTAAGCCATCTCAACTTGACTCTCCATTAACACACAGCCAGAAACCAAAGAACAAATGGCCAATAAGTGCATGAAGAGCTGTTCAACATCAGTAGTCATCAGAGAAATGCAGATCAACCCACAAAATCTACTTTACATCCACTAGGATGGCTAAAATAAAAAATTTGAAGAAAAAAAGATAACCAGACAATAATAAGCATTGACAAGGATGCAGAGAAATTGTAACCCCTCTACATTGCTGATAGGAAAGTAAAATAGCACAGCCATTTTGGAAAACAGTCTGACATTTCCTTTGAATGTAAAGCATAAAGTGATCATACAACCTAGAATTCCACTCCAAGGTATATTTCCTAGAGAAATAAAAATATACACCCTTACAAAAATGTGTATACAGGTGGAGGGTCAGAAGCAAGATGGTTAATTAGAAGCCTTCACTGATCATCTTCCCCACAGGAACACTATATTTGACAACTATCTACATTAAAAAGCACCTTCAGGGCCGGGCGCGGTGGCTCAAGCCTGTAATCCCAGCACTTTGGGAGGCCGAGGCGGGTGGATCACGACGTCGAGAGATCGAGACCAACCTGGTCAACATGGTGAAACCCCGTCTCTACTAAAATACAAAAAATTAGCTGGGCATGGTGGCGCGTGCCTGTAATCCCGGTCACTCAGGAGGCTGAGGCAGGAGAATTGCCTGAACCCAGGAGGCAGAGGTTGCAGTGAGCCGAGATCGCGCCATTGCACTCCAGCCTGGGTAACAAGAGCGAAACTCCGTCTCAAAAAAATAAATAAATAAATAAATAAAATAAAAAGCACCTTCAAAGAAGCAAAAACAGGCGAGCAATCAGAGTATCTGATGTTAACTTCATATTGCTGAAAGGTACACTGAAGAGGTTAGGAAATACAGTCTTGAATCACTGGCATTAGGCTTTCTCCATCCCCTAGCAGTGGCCACATTGTGCAGAGTATCTGTGAATTTGGGGGAGGAAGGGTACAGCAATTATGGGAACTCAATGCTGCCAATACCAATCAAAACACAACCAGTGCCCACAGAGGGAGCATTTAGACCAGCCCTAGCCAGGGGAAATCACCTATCCGAACGGTCAGAACTTAAGTTTCTGCAAACTTCAACCATCACAGGCTAAAGTGCTCTGGGGTCCTAAATAAACTTGACAGGCTGGCAAGGCAACAAGGACTGCAACTCCTAGGCAAGTCCTGGTGTTGTACTGGGTTCAGAGCCAGTGGACTTGGAGGGGCATGAGACCCAGTGAGACACTAGCCTGGGCAGCTAAGGGAGTGCCACCCCTCCCCAGCACAGCACACAGGGAAGAGTAAAGAGGATTTTGTTTTGCAACTTGGACACCAGCTCAGCCACAGTAAGATAGGGCACTGTGCAGAGTCATGGTCATGAAGCCCCCATTCCAGGCACTAGCTCTGGGGTGAAATTTTTAGACACACCCTGGGCCAAGGAGAACCCACTGCCTTGAAGGGGACCCAGTCCTGGCAGGATTTATCACCTTCTGACCTAAGAGCTCTAGGGTCCTGAATAATCAGTAGCACTAACCAGGTAGAACATGT